GAATGGGCAGGGACATCTAAGCCATCAGAGAAAACTGGCTGCACTGCCATGTCATGATGGTGGTGCCGGTACAGTACAAACTGCTGGCCACCGTGGGTCAGAGATTTGGGGGGCTGAGGAGACCCTCGCCCCGGGGGCTGGCTGCAGGGCAGGAGCAAGGGCAAGTGCAGAGAATGTCTGGGAGCAGGTGTGTTCTGCAGCTCAGAGCAGTCTCAGCCAGACTCAGCCATTTGAGGAAAACACAGGAGGTTGGAAATCAAGAAAGCAGCTTAGCTCTTCCCTGCAGAAAGGGTTAACTACCACCCTGCTAAACACAGCTGCCTCATCTGCTCAGGCCACAAAATGCAGCAGGCAGGGGGAAGACAGCTTGGAGAAACAAGACACTGAAAGCTGCTATTTCGTCATGATGCCATCTACTAGGAATAATTTAAAGAGGGCACAGAAACTGTCAAGGACTTTTCCTTGGCACTAACAGAAGTCAGAGGATGTTTCAGATAAAGGAAAGTGTTCATAATTAGGGCTGCACGTAGTGTGAGGAGAAATATTCCAGCCAAACACATCAGTCACAACTGGTCTTCCCTGCTGAGACAATCAATGACTTAGCACTAGAGTGAAGCCTTGCATCAGCTCTGGCTCTTTGATTTACAGCTGCCCTTGGCGTAGATTGGACAGGGAGTAGCACATTTGTTCCCACCCCATCTGGCTGCCAGGACACCACAGCAACAGGGCAGTGTTGCCTCACTGCACCTTACCAGGTCCTACTACCAGCCAGGAAGTGTCCAACCAATGCAAGCTCATTTACAGTACAGCCACGCACGCAGCTGTGCTGGCCTACAAAGGACCATGAACAACCAATTTCTTAATTGAAATTTTGCCCACTTATCCAGGCTGAAAAGGACAATAGGCATGGAACTGATGTTCTAGAAAAAAAACTAACTGCTGGAATAAAACTCACTGTGTGAAAACTTGTAAGCAGGAAAAACAAATACCATATAGACAGCTATCAAAATCCCTTTTGGGGTTTTACAGGCCTGCACTTTATCATAGACCAAATAAAAACCCCAAAACACAAAACTGTTCCTCCATTTAAGGAAAATATATATCTACCTTAAGGTGCTTTGCAGGTTTATTGGCATTCAGCATAGGGCTATTTCAATTTGATCACTAAACGTGGTGAGAAACAATCAAGTATAATTCATATTCTCTATATGGTCTGTGATTCACAGCATGCCCTGAATGAAAGGCTGTAGCTCAAGTCTCAAGTTGTTCCATTAAACACAGCTCTGGAACAGAAGTAGCTGTGTCTCCACACCCTGAAGCCCCCACAATGCTTGTGCCCCTGGGCAGACTGGGAAGTAGTCTGGTGAGGTACAGCCTGAGCACCCACCTTCCTGACCCTAAGGGATCAGCTTCATTAAGCCTGCAGAGAGAACAACACACACTAATATACAGCTTTGTGCATATGTTTTCCTCGAGCTTGCTGTTAGACACATTCAGAAGACTAGCAGCAATTTCTTTTCACAACAGTGATTAAAAAAGAAAATGTGCTGTGAAGGCAGGAAAGATCAGGAGTTTGCCAGTGGAAGAGAATAGATAAATGACAGGGCTCAGCTCAGGCCTTCATGCAGGGACAGAGCTGACTCTAGGTATTTTCTCTTTCCTGTTGCTTGTGCCTGCAGCCTGTTAGGGTTCTACTAGTCACACATAAAACAACCAACCCACCCAAGCACACTTACTGCATGGACACATACAGAGCTGTGCCAGCACCTGTAAGAGTATGATATAACAGCATGAAGAAAATGGCACTGAGTTCAATCTCTATTCCTAAGGATGCCTGCTCTTTGTTATGCTCCTTGAAAGAGTGGTTCCATTACACAAATACAGTAAGGCTAATCCATCTGCACTTGTTACAAACAAAAAAAAAGATAATTCTACTGAGTCAGTGTGTCCATTGTGGTGAGAAATTATCCAAAATAGGAAACACACAAGACAATATAGTTAGGCATTTGCAATGCACCCACCTCTTCAACCTTCAGGTTCCCCTGCTTTCAACCCCTCCCACAAGCACATACTGCCATGCATGGAAGAGTTACCTGTGTACCTCCATTAGAGTAGGGACAAAAGACTTAAGGCATCAGTACTCTGGATGGGAATGAGGGGTATGAAGGGGCTATGTGCATTTTGGATGTAGAGGCCCCACATGAAAGTTTTTCACAAGTTCCTACTTGAGATCTCACTAGCATTCACATATAGACTCTCACTTCACTGAGAAAGGTTAAAGTGTTTGCCTTTTATTCAGAAGACTTGCTCCATTTCCAGTAATACTTTTGCATGTCCTTGAAACCAGAGAGCCTCTAGTCTCATAACAGCACCATCAGTCTACTACAAAAAAAGCAAACAAATCAAAACCAAAAAAAGTTCCATGATGTGGTATAGCATAAAGAAACAAGTACAGCTAATACATTAGAGAAATAAACATCTACTTAAAGTTATGTAAGTTGCTATAAAACTGGCAGTATGCAGTTAAAAGATTGATAAGATTCCCAGGTCTGCTAGATGTTTAAAGCAAATCTACTTAGGCTATATCTATATTCTTGTTCTGGTTTTAGGCATGACTTTTTGCACTCAGGATCTAGCTACCTCAATTATCCACACTGGCAGGCTTTCACACAACTTCTCCTACAGCCAGCAGTGTGTGTATGCAAGCTCTCAAGCTACCTGTCCAGACTCAAGCAGCACTTGCAAAGCTGTGAAGATGTAGCCTATCGCTGTCTCCTCCCTATGAATATGGTATTACAGGGTTCATCTGCATATGCCTGGTTAAGAAACAAAACAGTTGTGTACTGTAACACCTTAAGTAACATGGAATCTGAGATTTTTAGAAAAATATTTTAATTGTCAGTTCACAAGTAAAAACTATCACTATTACAAAACATCTTGTAATACTAGAATACCTAGCTTGGAAAGAATTTTGTTCTTATTGCTGTTACATTTAGTTTCCAGGAGCTGTGTCAGCATGAAGGTAGAAGTGGCATTCCCACTTGCATTAGTCAGCTTGTAAGGGTAGTCATAGGAAAGCATCTCTTCCTATTTAATCCTCACACAATTTTCACATTTAGGCTGCCCTGACGTTTTCCACACAGGTACATACTTGACACCTGACACTACGTATCAAAGTATCACCAAACTTCAGTGGTTTCATATAACAAATTTCACTTGCAGCCTTTAAATAAAGCATTCACTCCAAAAAGAGTGAACATCAGCATTGACACCACCTTAGCTACTTGAAAACCCTATAACTGTGTTCTGACAGCTATCAGATATCAATTCGTTCATTTCATTCTGTTTGGTTTCTTCCTTCTCCTCATGGTTGGGCTGCTGTTTTGAATTTCCAGCTCTTTTAGACCTTCTGAGGAAAAATTTTGTCAGCAAGTAACATAATTCAGCCACATTTAAAAGAATGCAAATGCTGGACACAGCAATCATGAAAATAGTGAACACTGTCTTTTCAGTGGGCCGAGAAACAAAGCAGTCTACCGTGTTGGGGCAGGGCCAGGCATTACACTTCATTAAGCGAGGCATTCGGAACCCATCGTACATGAAATAGAACGCGTACATGAAGACAGCTTCAAAGACTAGTCTGAAAAAGATGCTGCTGGTGTATGTCCACCACAAGGAGCCCTCGATATGAAACCTCTGTTTTCTGATCTCTTCAATGTCCTTGTATTCACATTTCTGGTCCCCCTTTCTGAACTGCCTTTTCTTCTCGTGCCTCCTGTAAGCTACGTGCATGGCCACCAGCAGCGCAGGCGTGGAGACAAAGATCCGCTGCAGGGCCCACAGTCTGATGTGAGAGATGGGGAAAAAGTGATCATAGCAAACATTTCTGCAGCCAGGCTGAAGTGTGTTGCAGACAAAGTCATCTTGTTCGTCTCCCCAGACTCTCTCTGCAGCCACAACCAGGATCATGATACGGAAGATGAACAGGACTGTGAGCCATATCTTCCCGATACTGGTGGAGTGCTTATTTACACCTCCCAAAATGGTATGCAGGGCTCCCCAATCCATTGTCTTGTTTCAATCCTCTGACCTAAGACAAGACAAACCTAAGATTAATCAAGACAGGAAATAAATATCATCAAGGATGTGGTTTAAAATAAAGGCAATATCATAATTGCAGCATATCCATTGGCTGTGGTAACATTTCGTTACCTACAAGTAGTCATAAAATAATCTCATCACATATCAGTAGGCAATATTTCATTACTTGATTACACATATGGCACCACATTCATTTGACTTTCCCGATTATTTGCCAATGCACATTAAGCACATTAAGGAAAAGCAGACAGGGGAAACTGATCAACACAGCCTTAAATTAAAAGCTACAACTTCTAGTAGTTTGATAACAGTTACAAAATAATATATCATGCAAAATTAAAGTAGGTGTTATGATAAAGATAAAGCATTAGACAGAATTCCTATATAAAATAAGGCAAACTGGCTTATCCTTAGGTTTAGAGTATAAATACTGTTTTGATCAGTACACTCTAGCAATACAGACAGACCCTGAGGAACTACTGCTGATGCTCTGCATCTTTCATGAGCAAGTCTGGATAACCTGCATTTACCAATTTGAACAAATGTGACTGTATTCTTATTTGGAGCAAATTCCAGACTAGCTTGAGGCAATGAAAGTAAAGCCTTGGTCATTATCCATCTAGAGCTGGATGTTTAAAATCTTATCCCAAGATTGCTTTTCTCTCCACTAACTACAGAAATGGCCTAGGGTAACTAGACAAAGACTCCTTAATTGTCACTGCCTGTCAAATGATTATTTTCCCCCCCTCATAACACAGACTGCATTACTCCCTATATTAGGGGAGACATTTTAGCACTCTCCCAGCCTCTGAAATAAACATTTGAAGAGTTCAGACAGGTTAGCAGCAGTTTAGACTTTTCAACAGCAGTGTACAGTTTCCAGCAGATGAGTTTCAAAGTACTCTGACTGCAATGAATTAAGGATTTCCCCTTTGTCTCCCACATAGCTGCCCCAGGAACACAACACTTGCCTGTGTTTTGTGTCCACAAACAGCCTTTCACACAAAGTATTCAGAGACATTTCAGCCCACCTTCCCCCCCCCTCCACTTCAGATGGATTTACAGAAAGTTAAGTTTGCAAGCTACTCTGTATTCAAGAAACCTGCATTTCTTGTGCCTATCAGCCAGGATCCTCTCAGAGTGCTCACAGATCTCTTTGCTATGAAATTCCTCAGGAAAGGTTTTTATTTCATAACTTTGTTAAATTTGTTTGCATCTCAGAGACCATATTTCTTTGGCATCTACAGCACAAGGCACCAATAAGCAAAAAATCACACTTTCAAAGTTTCAAGAGAAGAGCCGTTACTGGCACATTGGCCATCGTACTGGTCACAAGATTTTCCTAACTCTGAGCTGGATCACACTGCACAAGGAAGAAAATTAAAACGTTGTTTTCCATGTCACACTCCCATTCTGAGCAATGTTGCAAACCATTCTGGTTTACAGCAAGTTATATATAACCATCAGGTCACATACAATAATACAGAGCATCAGTCAAAGTACATAGCTCAGAGGAAACGAGGTCACTTAATTGCCCTTGAGTTAGCAGAATGTAAGTGTAATATCCCTCCACTGGTTCCATAAACTACCTTCCCTCACATCCTTCTGGTTCATTGTGTGGAGCTGTACTTCAGGAGGTAAATATGAAGAGGGGGGACACACAAGATTTTCTTCAGATTGGAGAGAACTTTTCCTGAGCCTCCTTCATGACGCAGAATGTATGTGAGCTATTTCCTCTGTACCCGTCTGAAAACAGTTCTGGAAACAGACTTATCTTCCAGTCCTGCTAGGTTAGTTTTCCAAAAAGAAAATTTATTTTTCATGAGTATAGAAATACAGAGAAAGTCTCTGTAGGTTAACAACCCTATGAGGGCACAAGAAAGACTCTTAATACCAGAGGAAACTTACAAAACATACCAGCTAGAGTTCAAAGTATTTGTTTCCACTCCATTTTCTGTCATCTGTTTTTTCATCTATCAGACCAAACTTTCAGTATTTGCTTTGGCAAACATTGTATTGTTAAACAGAGGAACGGTTACAATTTTCTTAGTGCTCTCCGTTACCATTACACACATATGGCAATTACAGTACTTATGACACTACAACTAAGTGTTATAACTAAGAATACTT